TATATATATATATATATATATATATATATATATATATATATATATATATATATATATATATATATATATATATACGGGAAACACATTGTGACTTTCTATTCTACCTCAATCCTGAGTGTTGGATATATCACATGTACGTACGTTGTGAGGCCAAATAAGAGACCCTGACAACCTGCCACAACAGTACGCTACAACGTTACTACGTGATTCTCAACTCGGAAGTTGAAAAAAATATATTATTGTTTCCACGAAAATAAACTACCCCCATTGCATTAAGTATCAAATACCCTGTATTGAGCAAAATGAGACCAAAATTGGGCGCCAAACTTGCAACAGTCTTGGTCCAAATATCTACCCCCCAAAAAAATAATAATACTAATAATAAATATGCTACCCAAAACGGATTAACATGTTAGTTACATTTACTTTTACATTTTGCTTTTATCCTCTTCGCCACTGATCGGCTCGTTAGTCGCTTGGGCAGTCGGCCACAGCTTTGTTAAGCACTGTTGGAAAGTACTGGGCATGCACTATCTCCTAATGTGACTAATGTCCTGATTGTATCTGAACCTCCAGTGTGGTTAAGTCTGGTCTTGAAAGAGCTCACACTCGGTGTCGTCACAACCAAAGACTGTCACGACTCACAATACTCTGGCAGATTGTTCCAATAGTTCACAATTCTCACTCCGAAAAAGTGCCCTCTCAGATTCCACCTCAATTAGGTCACCCTTTGCCCGTTGGTAGTTGAGTCGCACTAAAGTTTTCTGTCGCAAATACATAGATAGATGCTATACAGTGAAATTGTTATACAAGTTCACAATGGTTCAGCAAGAACTATTCATATATAATCAGTGCAGGTATACACGATTGTAAACAGTAACTCATTTCGACCAAGTATAACCATAGAAAGCAAAATACTGTATTATATAGGCACTGCAAGGTTATTTTGTGCCTTGATAATATTATATAAACCAAAACTAGTTTACCTTCACTTTTTAAGGACAAGAAAAACGACGCAGGTTAACGTCTACACTCACCATACTCGCGTGGCAGCAGGTGGCTGGTCACTGTACACTGTACACGTAATAAGGCCTGTACACAGGACTTATTACACACAGAGTTGCCAACTAACTGTACGATTAAAACGCTGAAATTTATAATTATCGTTTTTAACTGGCTCTTTTTATCAAAGTATGCATCTCTTGTAGATATTGCTTTCCTTTCAAATTCAGTAGCAATAAGAAATTTCCAGTTGACTTCCAACAAATAAATAATTATGTTATAAGAATGTGGCAAGGTATATTATGCAAGAACGTGATGGGGCATAAAGCAGGGGAAATGTCGCGTGGGCTTACATTTTATATCGATCAGTATGCAATATGATTAATACAGTAATCTGAGCTCATTTATAGTAATTTTATGATTAATTGTTAATTTGTAAGGCTAAATTCATTGAATAATTATTCTGTGAGTTTATCTCTCTCAGCTGTTGACAAGTTGGTGTGAGAGGAGGGTTACATTTGGGTGTGTTACAATAATGAATTTTTAGCACAAATCCGCGACATTGTAAATGAAAGAATAGCTAAGATGATTTATGTTATCCATTATTAAAGTTTCAAAATTTGAATGCAAGTGTTCTTCCAAAGCCTTAGGGTTGACTACAATTTTTTTTAAAAACATCGAAAATATATGAAAAATTTTCAGCGCAGGCAGCTGCGGCCAAAACCAATACGTGTGCCAAGTTTCAGCTCTATCTTATAATTATTTATATTGCGTACGATGACTACCATCCCACACTATATCACGTGGACCTGGGGGGGGGGGATATTTAGCTTTTTTTTTTCACATTGTACGCAACAAAAGTATTTGTACGTCTTTTTTTATTGAAATGATTGTGTATAGGTTGTATCTGGATGTCATGTCAGCTAATCTGGGACCGTCTCCCTACTGCCATCTACTCAGCCCTCACCAGCTCCGATATGTCTAAGTTAGCTGCTAGTATCAAACATTCAAATTTCACGAAACAACAGCTGACTGATGTGATAATGGAAGTCCAACGGACTCTCATACAGGGCATCATACAACAAATGAATAATGAATGGCTGAAGAAATGGCTGTTGAGATTCAATGTCACGAAGTGTAAGAGGATGCACCTGGGGCGTACCAACGGTAATAATAATAATAATAATAATAATTAACGGTTTATTAAAAAAGTTCTGCAGCCCGAAGGCTGAAAATATACATTGGACATAAATGACTTATTACATACATTGGTGGCTTAACAAAAGCCTTCATTAGAGAAAGGTAAAGGAACATACAGTGAGCATACAGATTAATGTAGGTGTTGAACAGCAAACACATAGTGTAGTAACTCCCTCCCAGATGGTGTTAGGAGGGACCTCACGTGTTGTAGTAGTTCCCTCACAGATGGTGTTATGAAGGACCTGACGTGGTGTAGTAATTCCCTCACAGATGGTGTTATGAGGGGCCTCACGTGGTGTAGTAATTCCCTCACAGATGGTGTTATGAGGGGCCTCACGTGGTGTAGTAATTCCCTCACAGATGGTGTTATGAGGGGCCTCACGTGGTGTAGTAATTCCCTCACAGATGGTGTTATGAGGGGCCTCACGTGGTGTAGTAACTCCCTCACAGATGGTGTTATGAGGGACCTGACGTGGTATAGTAATTCCCTCACAGATGGTGTTATATGAGTGAGGTGTGGTCCCAGTCCTTCCTGTCGTAGACGGATTAACACATCACTGGTTGTTGTTGGGTCTCACGGGCCGTTATCACTGGGTACCTGGGACCTCACTGTGTGAAGGTTAACTTGGGTTCGACTGTTACTGTTGAGGTTGTTCTCACTGACTTAAGCACTGTTCACCACTGTTCACCTCTGTTTAACACTGGTTTCATTCCTTTCCTAAATGAAATTGTAACTTCTGGCGAGAACTTGTTGATATTCCGGTGGGGAGGAGAGTTCAGGGGAGGGAGTTGGTATGGGCCAACTTAACAGTTGACCTGGCTGCTCCGAGAGGAGCGCCAGGTACGTCTTGACCCTTCGGTGGTCAAGGAGGCGTATCATATGTCCCAACGGGATGAAGAAACTGCACGAGTTGAGACTGTGTGTGAGAAGGACCTAGGTGTGTATGTTGACAATGAGCTGAAGTTCTCGGGCCATTACGAGAAGAAGGTAAATCAGGCAAATAAATTATTGGGTCTTATAAGAAGGTCGTTCAGATATTTAGCCGGTCCGTCCCTCGTAACGATCTTCAGGAGTGAAGTGCTTCCCCATCTGGAGTACTGTCACCCCATCTGGTCCCCGAGATATGCTAGGGCCTGTCAGTTGGTTGAAAATGTTCAAAGGAGGGCCACCAGACTGGTGCCTGCACTTCGGCACCTCAGCTACCCTGAGAGATTGGAGCGCCTGAACTTGCCTAGCTTATACTACAGACGGGCAAGGGATTGATTTTGATTTTGATTTTGCCGCTTACAGCGGCTACTTTATTGTGCACCCCACACTCATCCTGTGAGCGGTAGCGCAAAAGGATTACAGAATAGAGTTTACAACGGGTCATAATAATTAACCCCCGTTGTCAGGATATTATGGCGCTGAATGTTACACAGTATTTCAATTACATTATTTGTTTAGTTCTATACATAAAGGGTAACTTATTCACAACTGCGTGAGTACAGGCGTGTGAGGCAGTATGTCTGGCCTCACACTTTGTTATTCACATTTACGTGAGCATTCTACGTAAAATGGACACACCTGAAACAAAGGGGCAGCGTCACACTATGCCACTATGACGCTGTAACCGGTGACTCCAACCGCCACTACAAAGAGTATCAATCTCTGACTCGATCTCAACAGATTATATACATGAGACTGTGCCTAGGGTACAGGTACCTATGGGAGTACATTGGCAACCCTGAGCCCGGCCGCACTGTTTGTAAACCTTGTGGCCAACCCGACTCTCACACCCTCTCTCACTACATCCTCACTTGCCCTATGACCTCCTCCTACAGGTCCCCAGCCATTACCAACACCTCTTCCCTCCTTGTCCAGATATCCCTCCTCCTAGTCACAGGCCTGGCACTTGACATTATTAGGGACCTGCCACGCTTTGCTATAAACAGATGAAATGTACCGGGAATTTCCTCCCCCACACACACTCATCATTCTGTCACTTTATGTAACTTGCTGACAAAACCCATGACCCTTCGGGCCTTTTACGCCCTTAATGCATGAGTCATAAAGGCAAGCATGAACTCCGCATGCTTCCCAGTTGGGCACTGTAAACGCTTCTGCGCTTCACCTTGCACAGGATGTAAGGGGGTGCCCAATAAACTAGCCCCCTCCGGGGCAATCTGTAAATCAATCTAGCTTCAGAGACAAGAGCGTGACAACCTGATTCGAGGGTGTCATGGGCAAGTAGTGAGGATAGAGAGTCAGTGATGATGAGACTGTCAGTAACAGTGGTTTCAATGAATTTAATAGCTGTGAGTATGGCAACTAATTCAGTTTGTAGAGTGGATGCCCAGTTGTTAATTCTAACTCCATTCTCAATTATATTACCGTCAGGTTGAGTCACAACAATAGCACTTCCAGCCCTCCCACAGGCGGTGTTAAGAGATCCATCAGTGTACTGTAGATGGTCTGTGTGATATTATCATCAGTCTGTCGAGTGTGTCAAGCAGACAACATTCGAGCAAAGACTACGCTCCTGCTCGGTTGGGTGGCGGGCACTGGTAAACACAGCTGTGAGTGCTAGCTCCCAAATTTGGGATGTTTTCGAGCCTATTACATTATCTGAAGGATATATTGACTTACCTACTTGTGTATAAGGACCTGAGGATAAGATAAGTATCGTCAAGCAACTTTGGTGTTGGGAACTTACTGTTTACCACACGAAAATAACTGCTCGGGGTCCCAGCACTCCTAGCTGGGTGTTGTGGGATGTCAGCATTGCCCCATGGAAAGTGAATTATCGCTTAAGAACTCTACATGGAAGAGTAAAGAAAAGATAGTTTTGGACGAAGTTCTTGAAGACCTTGAGTTGAGTAGTGATGAGTCTAATACGAGTGATGAAGCACAAGGGAAGTTCGAAAGTGAGAAAATACAGCTACAACAAGAGGTAGTGAAAAAGAAAGAAAGTTCTAAAAGGATGAGGGAGACAAGCTGGCAAGAGGACAGTGAAAGCAAAGAAGTGAGAGAGGAGAAGAGACAAAAAATTCTAGGACAAAAAACGTGTGTGGGTGGTAATAATAATGGAAATAACAGAAAGGAGATAGTGGAGAATGGATCAAGAACAGAGCAAAGTATGGAATTTGAAGGAAGCAGACAAGAACACACACAAGGTGAAGTTGGTCGTGTCAGGAAGAGATTAATTTTTCCACAGTCATGCCCGATGACCTTCCTTGAAAAATTAAAATGGGCAGTACAACTAGGACGGTAGCATCGCAGCTTTGAGCCTCTTTTGAAAGAAGGCACACACGAGCGGCAGAAATTGGACAGTGATTACATAAGTTCGTCAAGATCGTCTTAGTGAGGTGAAAGTGTAAATCGATGTAGGACTTTTCATGCTAGACACGATTGTATTTTTGAAAACTCAATTTCCACCGAGTTGGAGGTACAGCCAGGGTCACAGGCCTATAACCACACAATCACTGCCACATGACAAAGCTTTTATTTTATTTTATTTTTTAGGGTGTTGTGGTCACGGCTGTGATAAAGGCCAACCAGGGAGTGTAGTACTGTGCCTTCAGTTAAATCAGTTCATAGTTGTCATCAGTGAATGCAGAAGAGACTATAAATAACTTAAAGTGAATACATATTGGCAATCGAGCTGGTAAGGACAACTGCCAGCCTATTCGTGTCATAGGTGCCACAGAGACTTTAAATTTTATTTTGTTTGTGTGCTTTCTCAAGGACTGAATCTGTGTTTATAATACACCACTCACAGGGAGATACAGTGTACACAGTGATAGTTCATAGTGTCATCAGTGACCGCTGAAGTTGTAAATAACTTAAAGTGAGCGCTCACTAGCAAGCAAGCTGGAAAGGCACCGTGCCAGCTGAA